GTGAGGGTGCGTTGGGGGGGGCCTCAGAGGGGAGTCCAGGACGGGTCGGAAGGGCCCTAGAGTTTACGGGCTTATTCAGAATCTTCAAATCGGGGTGCACTTTTTATTTGGGATGAGCTCCCCCCCCCAGGGGTCTAACCGCCCCCTCCTCTCACGGCCCGGTCCGGTTCGATTTCTGGGAGGCTTCGGGCGGGGGTGGCTAACGGTTCCGGAGCGCGTGGAGAGAGGGTTTCCGCACGTCTCTGGGGAGGCGCTCGGGAGTGCGAAGTGCGGGGGCTCCTGGGCAGGGATGGGGGCGCGGAGTCGCGGGGCTTTATAGTCTCCGGAGGTCTGAGAGCCCCGAGGGGACCTGGAGGCTCGCGAGAAGAGACGCTCGGCGGAGCTTTGCAGTGGGGAGGAGGGGGCCGAGAGCAGCATAGGGGGGAGTATTTGAGAGGTGATGCCCCAGAACCCCAGGAGCGGTTAAGTGACATTAGGCTTGTCTGCGGGATTGGAGGTTGGCCCGGAACTTGCAGGCCTTGCAAGTTTCAGGGTGTGGAAAGTGGACACCCAAGCCCCCAGCGAACTGAGCGTCAAGCTGCACAGCGATTCCCAAGAAATCCGGGAGCATCGGAACAGCGGCCTGGGGATGGTGGGGAGGAAAACGGGTGCGGTGGGGGGGATGGGGGGATGGAGAGATGCTGGAACCTCGCGCAGGATTAGGGATCTAACCTCATTTTCAGAGGAGAGGGGACTTCTGAGGGCGGGGGAACAGAACTCCTTGTTGAGGAGGGGTGCCAAGGAGGGATGTTCGGAGGGTCTTTTGGGGGAAAGGGGAAGAATTGAGGGCGGTTGGTAGCTCCCGGCGCCGCAGCTCGTTTTTATGAATGTGAGTGACTTTATGAATGAAGCGGGTTTCTTTCGTTGGCTCCTGCTCCCTGCGGCTTTTTTTTTCCTCCCCTTTTTGTGAATGAAGCATTGAGCTTGCTTCCTAAAACGCTGGGGTGAGGGGCTTGCGTCGGAGGCTGGGCGTGCGTTGGGAGTGGGGGCGGGGGCGCCTCTGAAGGAGTTTTCATGAATGGGGAAGGCTGGGAATTGGGTGGAAGTGTGTCTTGTTTTGTGAATGGGGCCCAGCGCGAGGGATCCAGTTACAGGCTTTACCTGATGTGGCTGCCGCGGCTTGCTCTCCCATTCATAAAACCGGGGCCGCTGTGCGCCGCGGGGGAGGGGCCTGGATCGCTCCGCTGCGC